CAGCAGCAGCAGCAGCAGCCCCCCCGCCAGGAGGCCAGGTCACCTCGTTGCCCTCGGCCTGCCGCCGACTCCTGTTGCTGCTGCTACTGCTGCTCCTCCTGTTGCTGTTGCTGCTGCTGCTGCTGCTGCTGCTGGAGAATGGCGCCCAGGTACTGCCGGGACAGCCTTGAGAGGAAGCACGGGGCTGGTTTGCTGCAGCAGCTGCTGCAGGAGAACGAAGCCTTTTTGCTGCGCCCCTACCCAGCAGCAGGGGGTTCTTCGCTGCTGCAGCTGCCAGCCCCCCCTGGGGCCCCCAAACTTAATGCAAAGCAGAAGCCGCTGGGGCTTTCAAGGGGCCCCTCAAGGGGCCCCACTGCTGCAGGGGGCCCCCTAAGGGGGCCCCCAGGGAGCCCCTTAAGGGGGCCCCCAGAGGGGCCCCCTCTATCTGCTTTTCTATCAGGTGAAGATTTAAGTCAACCCTCTTTGCTGCAGCTTATCCCAGACGAACTCTTTCATGGGCCCCCACGGAGGCAGCAGCTCCTACCTCAACCGCGGCTTATGACTTCAGCAGGGACCCAGGGGCCCCCACGAGCAGCAGCAGCAGCAGCAGCAGCTGCTGCTGCTGCTGCTGCTGCTTCCCCTGTTCAAGCAGGAACGACTGCAACTTCAACCGCAAAAGCTGCAGCTGCAGCGACAGCAGCAGCAGCAGCAGCAGGAAGGTCTTCTGTGTGGGGGTCTCCCCCGCTCAGGAAAGAGCGCTGGCCTCAAGGGCCTGCCATTCGCAGCAGCAGCAGCTCCCGTCTGGGGATCGACGATCCCAAACCCCACACTCTCAATTTCATGAGCAGCCGCTCTCTGGTGGAGCGGCCCGCCAGCTCCTCTCTGCTTCTTACTCCCTCAACCCGCAGTCATAGCAGCAGCAGCAGCAGCAGCAGCAGCAGCAGCCGCGAGCCCAGGTCTGCTACCGTGACTGCAGTGGCTGCTGCTGCTGCTGCCGCTGCGGCTGCTGCTGCAGACGGAGCAGCAGCGGCAGCAGCGGCAGCAGCCGAGGATAGCGATAGGCTTCCTGCCAGCACCCGAGCTGTAGAAGAGCTGCTGCAGCAGCTGCGCCGCAGCAGTTCATCCTTTATTAAAGCGGGGGGCCCCCAAGACCCCTGGGGGCCCCTGCCTTCATCTGTAGGGGGGCCCCCAGCCCCCCGCCCAGCAGTAAAGCAAAGCCCGTACGGCACTCTTGAAGGCCTGAGGCGCTACCTTAAGCGCAGTAGCAGTAGCAGCAGCAGCAGCAGCAGCAGCAGCAGCAACAAGCTGCAAGAGCAATACCCCCGTGCTGCTGGGATGCCTTACCACCCTTCACTCACACAGTCAGGTATGGGGGCCCCCCTTAGGGGCCCCTATACCTCCACTCAAGAAGGGCCCCCGGGGCCCCTGGGGCCCCCGCGGCAGCTGCTAAACAGGACGGGTAGCGCAGCGTTTGCGCAACGCCAGCAGCAGCACCTGCTGCTCCAGCAGCAGCAGCAGCAGCAGCAGCAAGGACCCCTGCTTGCGTCGTCGTCTGCAGCACAGTATGGGAGGCCCCTAAACCCTAAGCAGCAAACAGCTGCTAGCGGAAACCTCAAAAGAACCCCCTGTCCTCAACACCCCAGACAAAAGCAACGAGAAGCGCAAACTCCACGGATGCAGCAGCAGCAGCAGCAGCAGCAGCAGCAGCAGCAACTGCAGCAGCAGCAGCAGCAGCAGCAGCACAGCAAGGTCCCTCTTTTACCCATGGCGTCTTTGGGGCCCGCGAGCCAAAGCAGCTCGTGGTCTGTAGGCGCCTCTGCCCAGCAGCAGTCGCAACAGCAGCAGCAGCAGCAACAGCAGCAGCAACAACGACAGCAGCAACAGCAACAGCAGCAGCAGCTGCAGCAGCAACCACAGCAGCAGCAGCAGCAGCAGCAAGAGATGTCCCTTCTCTCGGAATTGTCATCCGGCGGTGCGCATAGCGCCCTGGAACAACTGCTGTGCAGCAGCAGCAGCAGCAGCAACAGCAGCAACAGAGGCAGCAGCAATCCTTCCCGGTGCCCTAGTGCAGGAAGCGAGGGGAGCCCAGCTGCTGCTAAAGACGAAGAAACAAAGGCTATCGAGGCGTTGCTGCAGCAGCAGCAGCTGCCGCCTCCGCAACAGCAGCAGCAGCAGCAGCAACGCTGCACAGACAAGGACAACGAGCGTTCTCTTGTTGTAGCAACAGACACCGCAGCATCAGCAACTCTTAACCCTGCTGCTGATGCAGCAGAGCAGCCTGCTGCTACTGCAGCAGAGCAGCATGCTGCTGCTGCAGCAGAGCAGCATGCTGCTCTTGCTGAGCAGCCTGCTGCTGGTGCTTCCGAAGGGGTCCCTAGCGAGCTAGAGGGGGCCCCCCTACTGGATGAAACTCTGATGGGGGCCCCCCTATTGGGGGCCCCCCAGCAGGACAGCTACGACGGCTTATTGCGCTCGTTTGTAGAGGAGAGGGGGCCCCAAGAGGATTGGTGCTGCAGCAGCAGCAGCAGCAGCAGCAGCAGGAGCAACGTCAGCTGCAGCAGCCACTGCAGCAACGGCAGCAGCAAAGACAGACAATCGATGCACGATGTAAGGCTGCAGCTGTCTTGTATTCACCAAGAGGTCCTCTCAATGTGGCAGCAAACGTGTGCGCAGCAGCAGCAGCAGCAACAACAACAGCAACAACAGCAACAGCAACAGCTGCTGCTGCAGCGCCGGGCCTCCCGTGGCATGCAGACAAGGGCTCAGCAGCAGCAGCAGCAGCTGACCTCTTCTCGCGCTGCAGACAGCAGGAAGCCCAAAGCGTACTCCTCCGGGGGGCCCTTGGCCTTAACTGCAGCAGCAGCAGCAGCAGCAACAGGAGGCAGCAGAGACAGCTGGGGATGGGGCTCCTCCTCGCTGTTGCTTTCATCCCCTCAGGAGAACGGCTTCACGGTAGGAAGTATATTATCAAGAGCAGCAGAAGAGCACGAACGTACCAAGCAGCAGCAGCAGCAGCAGCAGCAGCAGCAGCACGGGGGCTCGTTCCTGCTGCCATATGGGCAGGGCCATACAGCGGAAAGGGCCAGGCGGAGACTCTCTAAACGAACAGACGGCTCAAAAGGGCCCAATCAGCAGCAGCAGCAGCAGCAGCAGGACGAGCAGCAGCAGCAGCAGCAGGAGCAGCAGCACGAGCAGGAGCAGCAGCAGCAGCCGGGGTGTTTTGCGGAGGCCTCAGCAGCAGCATCTCACCCTGAAGAGCAGCAGCCTAAGCCCCACACTACCCAGCTGGGCCTGCATGCAGCAACGCAGCAGCTGCAGCAGCTACAGCAGCAACTGCAGCACGTGCGCAGCCAGCAAAGCATGTTTGAAGAGAGCAGCAGCAACGGGGGCCCCCTCTCCCTTCAAGCCCTTTCTAGGGGCCCCACATTCCAAGAGGGGGGCCCCCAGGGGCCCCCGCTATCTTCACCCCGGTTTGCGCCTTGTCTTGCGGGTAGGTTCGTTGCTGCTGCTGCTGCTGCTGTTGCTGCTGCTGCTGTTGCTGCTGCTGTTGCTTCTGCTTTTGCTGCTGCTGTTGCTTCTGCTTTTGCTGCTGCTGTTGCTGCTGCTGTTGCTGCTGCTGCTGCTGCTGCTGTCGGTAGCAGCAGCCTGGAGAGGCAGAGGAAGCAAAAGGAAAAACAACAGCAGCAAATGCAGCAGCGCATGCACAGCTAAATATAAACAAATAAAAAGAAGAAGCAAGAGCCCGAATCCTTTGAAATCAACATATATATTAAGCAGCTTCAGAGAGACAGCCTCTGTCTCCACTCTTATTTGGCTGTCTCTTCTCCGCTGTGTCGCTGCTACTGCTGCTGCTGCTGCTGTTGTTGTTCGTGTTTCTGCTGCTGCAGAGACAGCTGGAAGCAGCCAGAGTGGCGAGAAGCTGCTGCTGCAGTCTGCTGACAGCACAGTTAAACCCGAGCCATACATTGGCGGGGGGCCCCCAGGGGGCCCCCTGGGGGCCCTCGTGGGGGCCCCCTTAAGGGCCTCCCCTATGCTGAGAAGAGACAGCTACAGCAGCAAAGATATGTCGTTTGCTGACGCGCTGCAGCTTATTGACTCTCTTGTCTCCCTCACACAGCAGCAGCAACAACAGCAGCAGCAGCAAGAACTGCAGCAGCAGCAGCAGCAACAACAACAACAGCAGCAACCGCTGCACGAACAGCTGCACGAACTGCAGCAGCAGCAGCAACAACAACAGCAGCAACACTGCGAATCCTCTTCGTCTTTAGCCAGCGCCACTCCAGGCGCCGAAGAAGATCAACAAGTAAACATTGGTGAGGGTTTAGGGTTTAGGGTTTAGGGTTAAAGGTTTAAGGCTTAGAGTTTATGGTGTAGGGTTTAGGGTTAAAGGTTTATGGTTTAGGGTTTAGGGTTTAGGCTTTAGGGTTTGGCTGCACGGAGAGCCAGTTGCAGGCCGAAGGCCGCTGCTGTCTCTGTCCCCTTCCCTTTTTCTTGCGACGCAGCAGCAGCAGCAGCAACAGCAGGAGCAGCAGCAGCAGCAGCAACAGCAAGGGGCCCCTGCGCCGCTATGTGATGTGCTGCAGCCGACGAGGCCCCTCCGAGCCCCCCTACGGCAAACCCAGAAGGGCCTCCTGCCGCAGCAGCAGCAGCAGCAGCAGCAGCAACAGGAGCAGCAGCAGCAACAGCAGCAACAGCATCAGAAACAGCAGCAGCAGCAGCAGCAGCAGCAGATGTTGTTGTGACACCTCGGAAGCCCCACAGCAAGGGAAAGGATACGTTGCTGGGGCCCTCCAACAGCAGCGGGAGCAGCAACTCGATCAACTGCAGCGGAGACAGTACCAGCAGCAACAGCAGCAACAACAACAGCAGCAGCAGCAGCAGCAGCAGTGCAGACATGTCTGTCACTCCATGCAGAGAGGAATTAAGTTTGGGGGACTCCGCTTTGGCTGCTGCTGATGTCTTAGCAGCTGAAGTTTCTGAGGCCTCTGTTGGGGGCGTCGTTACCCGAGGAAGCAACAGCAGCAGCAACAGCAGCAGCAGCAGCAGCAGCAGCAGCAGCAAGAGTGGGGGAGATCAGCTTTCGCTGTCTCCTCGCAACAGGGCCTTTGACTCCGAGCTGCTGCTTGGAAGGGAGCCGCCGCTGTCCCAGGCGACCCTCACCAGCAGAATAACAGCAGCAGCAGCAGCAGCAGAAACAGCAACAGCAGCAGCAGCAGCAGCACTGGGGCCCCACAGCCAGGAGGAAGCCCTGCTATACCTTCCTAAGGACGCACAGACAGAGCTGCTGACTCCCCTCAGCAGCAAAAAGACAGCCCTTGGAAACCCGCAAATAATAGGAGACACAAACAGCAGCAGCAGCAGCAGCAGCAGCGGCAACAGCAGCATCAGGAGAATTCCTTCTGCTGCTGCTGCTGTAACGAAAGCTCTGCTTGAGTTCCACTGGCCTCCAGAGGTGGCCTCCTTCAGCAGCAGCAGCAGCAGCAGCAGCAGCAGCAACCGACTGTATCGGCGCATCAAACGCATGCAAATGAGAGAGCAGCGAATGTTGCGGAGACACATGAAAAATGCATGTCTCCTTTCAGGCCTAGAGGCAGCTGTAAGTGCTGCAGCAGCAGTAGCAGATCTCTGGAAGCATCATAACAGCACAGCAGCAGCAGGGGGCCCCCTAGGGGCCCCCCTTCTACAGACACCCGGGCCCCACAGGGGCTGGTGCACGGCCTTGTGGGGAGGCACAGATGAAGCAGCAAAGCTCGAACCTCAGCAGCAGCAGCAGCAGCAGCAGCAGCAGCAGCAGAAAAGGCAGCATCTGCAGCAAAAAGAGCAGCAGCTGGCGTTGCAAAAGCAACACCAGCGGCAACTCCAAAAAGATCAGAAGCAACAACAGCTGCAGCGCCAGCAGCAGCAACAGCAGCAGCAGCAACAGGAGCCGCAGCAGCAGCAGCAGGTACAGCAGCAGCAGCAGCAAAGAGAGACTGGCGGCGAGGTTAGGACATGGGTTGTAGCTGCTAGGGCCCGGCGAAGCAGCAGCAACACAATCTGTGGAGGCACATACATGAGCTGCAGCAGCAACAACTTCAGCAGCAGCAGCAGCAGCAGCAACAGGCCCCTCGCTGCACATGAAGAAGCCGAACTCATGGCGGCTTCTTCTAGCACCTGGGAGATACAAGCTGCAGCAACACAAGCAGCAGCAGCAGTACCCGCAGCGGCAGCAGCGGCAGCAGCACCAGCGGACCCACAGGGGGGCCTCAAAGCCACCTCTCCAAGGAAGCAACGCACCAACTACCAGTCTGACAGCAGCAGCAGCAGCAGCAGCAGCGGCAGCAGCGAGGAAGACGCAGACAAAGGAGAGTCTCAGGCGGGTCCCTTGCGGGGCGTCGAGCCCACATCAAGGAGTAGGACAGGCAGCAGCAGCAGCAGCAGCAGCAGCAGCAGCGGCGGAGGCAGCAGCAGCAGCAGCAGCATCCGCAGTAGTAGCAGCAGCCGCAGTAGCAGCAGGATGAGAAGCAGCAGCAACAGCAGAGGAGCTGCTGCAGCGGCTGCTGCTGCAGGCAGCCCCACGTCAGCAGACACCGCAGAAGCTGCTGCATGCGACGACTTCGCCCTTTTGATGGCTCAGTGGCTCAACTCCAGGCGACGCCCCTCCACTTGGCAGCAGCAGCAGCAGCAGCAGCAGCAGCAAGCAACAACAGAGGATTCGAGTGCCCCGGACAGCCCCAAGAGACAACGGCAGCGCAGCCCAGCATGCAGCAACGACAAAGAAAACGCTCACAAGCGTCGATACAACAGCCAGAGCAGCAGCAGCAGCAGAAGCAGCAGCAGAAGAAGCAGCAGCAGCAGAAGCAGCAGCAACAGCAGCAGAAACAGCGGCAACGGCAGCAGCAAAGCAACCCATCAGCCCGCAAGTTCTCCTAGAGCGTCTGCCTCGCTCTCCTCTGCTAGCGAAGTTACCAGCAGCAGCAGCAGCAGCAGCAGGAGCAGCAGCACGGACAGCAGCAGCAGCGGCGGAAGCAGCCGCAGCAGCATTAGCAGCACAAGAAGCAGAGGCAGCCCATACAAGGGCAGCAAAACGCCGTCCCTCCTGGAGTCCCTTGAGCCCGAAGAGGCTGCTGCTGCTGCTGCTGCTGCTGCAGAACCACAGGCTGCACTGCAGCAACAGCAGCAGCAGCAGCAGGATGAGTATCCGAAAGGTTCAAGGCTACCTGTTGCATGCAGCAGCAGCTCCTTGCCCAGCCTGCGCAAGGCCGCTTCAGCGGGGCATTTTTTTTTCAGCAACAGCAGCAGCAGCAGCAGCAGCAGCAGCAGCAGCAGGAGTAGGAGTTGGAAGAGCTTGGGGGAGGGTGTTCAAGCATTGAGCGCGAGGTGTACGCACAGCAGGCAGCTGCTGCTGCAAGCAGAAGCGGGGCGCCGTCGGCGTTTGCGAGGATTTGCTGCTGCATCAAAAACGCATGCAGAGTGCATGCAGCACTTTAGCAGAAGAATGGGGCTGGACCCTCTTAAAAGAGTCTTCTGTCTTGAGAGTTCAAAACATAGAGCAGGCATAGCGCGCAAACATACCCATTCAGCAGCAGCAGCAGCAGCAGCAGCAGCAGCAGCAGGCGCAGCAGCAGCAGGAGTAGGAACAGCAGCAGCATCAAGAACATCAGGAACAGGAGCACCAGTACCCGCACCAGCACCATTACCATCAGCAGGAGCACCAGGAGCAGCAGCAGCAGCAGCAGCAGCAGCAGCAGAAGAAGAGGAAGAAGCACAGCAAAGAAGAGGCGGGACGACAGTAGAGTCTTGTGTTGGTGCTGCGCTGCAGCGCCGTGGCTGGGCTTACAACAGAGAGCTGAGTTCTTCGTTTTACGATTTGAAGTGGAGCGTAAAGCAAAGAAAGAGAGATATACTTTTAGCTAAACCGCAGCAGCTGCTTAACCATTTTGAGGGCAGCGAAGCACTTACTACTAAAGGGGGCCTTAATGCTTCGCTGCTGCAACTCAGGTGTACAGACAGCATCAATATATTTGCTTTCTATCCACGTACATACGATTTGTCTTCATTAGCAGATTCTGCTGCTTTTGTTCTTGACTGGGCAAGAACTGAGGCCCTTCTTGTTCTCTTATCTTATCTAAAACATACAACAAGCTGTCTTATCTCTGCTGCTGCTCCTGCTGCTCCTGCTGCTCCTGCTGCTCCTGCTGCTGGTACTGCGGGAAGGAGCAGCAGCAGGCCTCCTTCTTTGCGGCGAGGCGGTGGGCGGGAGCGTAGCTTGACCCCTTACCCTGCAGCAGCAGCAGGAGCAGCAGCAGGAGCAACAGATAGTTTTGATCTGAGGTGTGTGTACACCCGAGAGGCGGTGCTGCTGCCTTGGCTAGCTGTGGAAGTGTTGGAGGCGTGGCTTCCAGAACTGCTTCCTGATAGATATTTAGATAGCGTTGATTTGCTGCAGCAGCATGAGCCTCTGTCTCCCGCTCATATAGAAGCCTTTTCTACTGTTGCTTGGTGCATGCGGCAACACCCCACACCCTTCATTGCACACTGGCAGCAGCAGCAGCAGCAGCAGCAGCAGCGGCAGCGGCATCGGCAGCAGCGGCAGGGAGAGGAGGGAGAGGAGCAGGTGCTGCAGCAGCTGCTGCCGCCTCAGCAGCAAACAGTAGGGGGCCTCGCAAGCCTGCAAAGGGGGCCCCCAAGCGAATTGGTGCTGCAGCTGCTGAGACAGATCAAAGCAAATTGGCCTCTGTGGGGTACTGACATCGGCAGCAGCGCAGACGTCGATAGACTCCTAGGCATTACAAACAAGCAGCAGCAGCAGCAGCAGCAGCAGCAGCAGCAGCAGCAGCAGCAGCAGCAACAACAAGAGGAGTGGCCCAGCAGAAATATTTGGATAGTCAAACCCTGCAGCAACGCCCGCGCCTCTGGAGTTAAACTCTTCACTTCTCCTCTTGAGATCCTTAGATCAGGTAAACCCTAAACCCTAAACCCTAAACCCTAATGTACATGTAAAAAGCTTTATAAACAAATTTAAAACAGAGCTGTCTCCTTCTAATATTCTTTTAGTATTCACATTTATCTGCTGCTGTATCCTGTCTCTGCAACAAACAAACAAAAGCAAAGACATTGCTGCCTCCCTCTTTATATTGCCTGCGATTGATTTTTATTTACTTTCTGTTCTTTTAATTAGGGTTTAGGGTTTAGGGTTTAGGGTTTAGAGACAGACATATATCCCTTTGCAGATCTTTCTCGTCTGTAATACTTTTTTTCTTCCCACACGAAATTATATCATTTATTTATTTATTTATTTATTTATTTATTTGTTTGTTTGTTTGTTTGTTTGTTTGTTTATGTTTATTACAGGCAGGGGTTTAAGAGGCCGACTGGTGCAGCGTTATATAGAGCGCCCATTACTATTATTTTTTTCTCGCAAGTTTGATGTGCGTGTGTGGGTCTTAGTTAGGTCATTTAAACCATTAAAGATATATCTTTTTAATAAACCCTATATACGTCTTTGTTCTGAGTCTTATACTACTAAAGAAATACATAACAGATTCAAACATATATCTAACTGGAGCCTTAACAGACTTAAAAGGCGCCACCCCACACACAACCACCATCATCATCATCGTCAGCAGCAGCAGCAGCAACAGCAGCAGCAACAGCAGCAGCAGCAGCAGCAACAGCAGCAACAGCAGCAACAACAGGAATCCAAGATAGAGATACCGCGACTCAAACAAGGCAAACGCAAGGAGCGAGACGGAGCAGGAGCAGCAGCAGCAGCTGCTGCTGCTGAGGGTTCTGCTTCCGCTTCAGCTGCTGCTGCTGCTGCTGCTGCTGTTGGGGGGCACTCTGTTGTGTGCGAGAAGTGCTTAGAAGAGGAAGAGAGTGTAGAGGGTGTCCTTCCTGTAGACTACTTATGCTGGTGCTTAGCTGAGCGTACAGGAGACAGCAGCTACTGGCCCTGTGTGCTGCTGCCGCAGCTGCGGCTGCTCGTGCTGCAGGCTGTGAGAGCGGGGAGGCCGCAGGTGGTGCAGCGCAGCAGCAGCTTCGAACTCTTTGGCTTTGATGTTTTACTTGATGAAGACCTTAACCCCTGGCTCTTAGAAATCAATCTCAGCCCCGCATGCAGCAGCAGACAGCCCTGGATGCATGCGCTCCTAACAGAGATGACGGAACAACTCCTAAACCTTGTTCTGCCTCAAACACACAATCAGCAGCAGCAGCAGCAGCAGCAGCAGCACAAGGGGGCCCCTAAAGGGGCCCCCAGTGACCTGGCTGAGGCACACCTAAGGAAGCTGCAAGAAGGAGAGAAGAAGGGAGAGGCCCCACAACAAGCTGCATGCGCTCCTCTTCATGAGGCCCCAACCCAACCTATAACAAAAGAAAATACCTCCAACGCTGCTGCTGCTGCTGCAGCAGCAGCAGCAGCAAACAGGGGACAATGGGAGCTTATTTTTGATGAAAGTCTGCCCCTCGATGTCGCCATTAAAAAATTTGCTCCTCTCTTTCCTCAAGACAAAGACAAGGGGGGCCCCCAAGGGGGGCCCCCAAAGGGGCCCCCAACAAGCGAAGAAAGAAGAGAGAATATCAGTGAAGGCAGCGCCAGACTGATCAAAGAAATATATGCAGAGGGGGGGGCCCCCGCCTCCTTCTGCTCCGTAACTGCAAGGCAAGCTAAGCACGAGCTGTACGTACAGGGTAGACGAATTGCATCAAGTGGATACGCTGCTGCTGCTGCTGCTGCTGGAGCTGCTGCAGCTGCAGCAGCAGCAGCTGCTGCTGCTGCAGAGCAACGCCAGCTGCAGCAACTTCAGAGAAGCCAAGAGCTCAGAGAAGTATAAACAGCTTCTTGAAGAGGCCTTCGGGGTCCTCAACAACATATTATTATTTTAAGGGTTTTACATCGCCGCTAGAAAATACTCCTTTAGATGCTGCACATACTGTCTTATTGCTGCTGCTGAGGCAGCCTTATTGCTGCTGCTGCTGTATACTCTAGTCAAAGAAGCACGGACAAGCCAGGGTTTAGGGTTTAGGGTTTTAGGGTTTAGGGTTTTAGGGTTTAGGGTTTTAGGGTTTAGGGCTTCGCTCCCCGACTCCGGCCCCGTATAACTCAGGCACCTTGCCCTTAAGGGTTTAGTATTTAGGGTTTTAGGGTTTAGGGTTTGCAAGGGGGTCGGAGTCTCCAGGGCCGTAGCTATAGGGCGTCAGCTAGGGTTTAGGGTTTAAGGTTTAAGGGGCTCTGCTGTCTGTGCAGATATTGCATGCCTGCATTTAACCCTTCATTCTTTCAAAAAGCCATAGGGTTTAGGGTTTAGGGTTTAGGGTTTCGTAGAGACACCATCAGCGCCTGGGGACCCCTGAAAGGCGCCCCCATGATACCTGGGGGCCCCTTTAGGGGGCCCTTTACGGGACTCATCAGGGGGCCCTTCAGTGGCCCATTAGGGAGCCCCTCAGGGGCCCATTAGGGTCCCTTCAGGGGCCCATTAGAAGGTCCTTTCGGGTAATGTAGGGGCCCCCATGATACCTGGGGGCCTCTGTAGGGGGCCCTTGAGGGTCCCGTAGGGGCCCCCCATGACACCTGGGGGCCCCTCTAGGGGGCCCTTAAGAGCCCCATAACGGCCCCCTTAGGGGGCGGGCTTTATGAGGTCCCGGGCATCTTCTCTAAGTTGCATGGGGGCCCCCCTAGGGGGCCCCCCTATGCGGGGGCCCCCGTAGGGAGCGCCTTAAGATTTAGGTTTTGTCTCTGCCAGTCGCTATGCCTGTGGGGCCCCTAGAGGGCTTATTAGAGTCCCCTAAAGTTTCTTTTTGGGGTTTGTTTGGGTAAGATATATATATATAGTTTAAATAAATAAGCTGAGGTGCGGCGAGTTGGCTGAAGGTACAGGGGAGAAAAGCCGCAAGTAAGAGACAAAGACAAAGCGAAGAAAGCAACACAATCGAAGGAGTAAGGGGTTAGGGCCCTAAAGGGCCGGAAGCAGCAGCAGAGCTGCAGCAGCATCAGCTGCAGCAGCACAACTGCAGCAGCATCAGCTGCAACCGCCACTGAGGATTTGATGGATGCGGAGGCGGCCGTCGCTGCCTCCTGAGACGATTGAGGTGTCTGTACACCAGGAGCAGCAGAGAAGCCTTACAGGGAGGCCCTTGACTTGGGCTTTAAACACAGCAAGTGCTGCAGCAGCAGCACGCAGATCGTGCAGCAGCACGCAGCCGTCCTGCCCCACAGAAGCTAAGAGGCCCCCGTTGCTGTTCCAGCTAACAGCAGCAGGCAGACGCGCATGTCTTGTCTTAAAAGACGTACGCAAAGAGAACCCCACATTATCGTCCCCCGATCCCGATCCCGATCCCGATCCCAGGCCATCTATCGCCACCCCCTGAGGTGTACGTACATCCCACAGCCTCACCCGCCCATCATCATGAGCAGCAGCAAGCAGAGAAGGTTGTGCTTCCCTTGTAGACAAGGCCAGAGGGATGGAGTTGCAGCGCCACTCTGCTGCTGCTGCTGCTGCTGCTGCTGCTGCTGCTCTTTTCGGGTCCCACACGCGCAACACACCGTCTAAAGAAGCAGAAAAAAGCGAAGGGCCCCCAAATACAGCAGCAGTTACGTGGTGGTAGGAAGCGGAGACAGCAAAACGAGTGTAAGGCTTCAGCAGCTGCTTCTCGCCTCCTAATGAAACAAGCAAAGGAGACACCCCACGCCGCTTCTGTCGGACAGAACCCGACCCGCCTCTATCCCCAGCGCCATCTGCTGCTGCTGCTGCTGCTGCTTCTGCTGCTGCTGCTGCTGCTTCTGCTGTGTTCCACAGAGATATAGCCCCGTCTCTGCCGCCTACAGCCACGAGGCTGCTGTCTCCTGAACTCGCGAGGCAGCCAGCGGGGCCGTTGTGAAGCCCAGCACAAACAAAAGTGTCTCTCCACCCGCTGCTGCTGCTGCTGCTGCTGCTGGCTGCTGTCTGCGTCAGAGCCACCCCTAACAATCCACCTCCCTGGGTGACGCTCAGGCAGAAGTAAGGGCCCCCCTCGGGGGCCCCCAGCGGCACTGCAGCAACATCTGCTATGGGGCCCTGACCTAGAGACACCGCGTGCTGCAGCGAAGGCCCCGCTGCTGCTGCTGCTGCTGCTTCTCCTGCATCTGAAAGGAGGGGTAAGGAACCAGAAGAATGGAGGCGCAGCACGCCGTCGTAGCAGCCAGAGACTATCGGCCCTGAACACAACAGCACCAGCAGCAGCAATAGTAGCAGCAGCAGCAGTAGCAGCAGCAAGAAGAGACTGACGGAGACGAACCAGGAGCAACACCGAGCCCCCGATCTTTCTACCGCCCAGCAAGGCAGCAGCAGCAGAAGCAGCAGCTATAGCAGCAGCAGCAGCAGCAGCAGCAGCAGGAAGTGTATCGCCGCCTTACCGTTGCTGTGGGGAACAGAGACAGCAGCAATCCAATCGGGAGCCGGAGGCAGCAGCAGCTCTGGGCCCTTTCTAGTAGCTATCTGATAGTGAAGGCGAAGAGGGGCTTCTGCTGTTAACCCCAGCTGCTGCATGTGCCTGCAGCCAACCCAAGCGCAAACACCACTTAAACGCTGCTGCAGCAGCAGCAGCAGCAACAGCAGTAACAGCAGCAGCACCTACACCAGCAGCTGACACAGCAGCACCTAGACCCAAAGCAGCAACAGCGCCTAATTAGCACGAGCAGCAGCAGAGCAGCACCACCACCGCCAGAAGCAGCAGCAACAACAGCAGAAGCAGCAGCAGCAATAGCAGCAGCAGCAGCAACAACAACAACATACTCCTTCAGGGATTTGTTGACTAGGGTTTTGTTATCGATATAAAAATCCAAAGGCTGAGGCTGGGGCCAGGCATGCGGGTCTTTATCTGATAGTAATTGATTCACGAGCTGCATATACACCCCAAACCCCACACACCCCACAGCCAAAGACAATCAAAGACACGAAATTAAGGCCCCCCAAAGACAGACAGGGGCCCCTGAAGAGGGGGAGGGGGCCCCAAAGACCCCTATTGCCGTACTGAGGAAGAAGGGGGCCTCACCTTTGATAAATCGCTGCGGTGTACAGACACCTCAATGCTTAAGGGCTCCTGAGGCAGCTGCAGGGGCTCTGGGAGGTCAGTCGTGAAGTACACATAGGCGCGGGCCCCTAGTCCAGCGCTGCTGCTGCTGCTGCTGCTGCTGCTACTGCTGCTGCTGCTGCTGATGGGGGTCTGCTGCTCCTCATCGTCGCCGTCCTCGTCGAGCCAAGAAGGCCGAGGAACCGATTGGAGGCCCCCAAGGGGCCCCGCAGCTGCCATCGTGCCTAAACCCTAAACCCTAAACCCTAAACCCTAGACTTTAATCCCTTTGTCCAAACCTCCACAGGAATATTCAGCCTAGAAGGAGTATCTAAATAGGCAATAAACCCTAAATCCTAAACCCTAAACCCTAAACCCTAAACCTCGAAGGTGATGCGGAGGCCTGTGGGGCAGTGCCTCGGAAGCCCTTACTTAACTCAACGAATGTTGCTGTGCATGCATGCAAGTAAATATAAAATAAAATTTAAAAATAATTATTTAAATACTCTCCAATGCCGCAGCCACCTATGGAAGACTGCAATTCAGTAGGGCCTCTACCTAGAGGGGCCCCTACAGGGCTTTAGGGTCCCCAGACTGAGGGGCCCCCAGGGCCCCCTAGGGGCCCCCTAGGGGCCCCTAGCGCCCGATTCTTTGCAGCAATAATTTACTTCTATTGCTATCTTTATTGTCTTTGTTTGTTTACTTGTGGAGTTAAAAGAAAGGAAGAAAGGGCATGCGGAGTTGGATCTACGGGTGTGGGTGGCCTTACCCCTTAAACCCTAAACCCGAAACCCTTATCCCTAAACCCTAATCTCTCAGCCTTAAAGCCTAAACCCTATACACGAAGAACACTGGGTTCGCTTGGCCTCCGTTCTATGTGCAACAAAGCTTAACTTTTACATGCATACATACATACATACATACATACGTGCATACATACATACATCTAATGTATTGAACAGCACTCACCCACAGCTATTACTGCGTGCTGCCCCATAAAGACCTTCTTAGACGCATACTCTATATCTATCGCCGTAGTTAGGGAGTTTTCTCTAAGGCAATCTAATCTACCAACTAACAAACTTTAAACCCTTGTCCAGTTGTCTATTATATAGAGAGAGAGAGAAGAAAGAAAAATAAATGCTGCATAATCTTCTACAGGGGTGGCCCCTTCAGGTGTTAGTGCCTCCGCTACCCTGCGAGCCCCACACTATGAATGCTAAGGGCTCTCGCAATTCAGTTGGCCTCAATTCTTGTTTACATGATCTTTATTATTAAATACTAATATTGTCTTATATCATGTTCTTTCCAGGGATAGTAAGCTAGAGGCTCAGTGAAGACCCTATTGTAGTGTCTGTGCATTACAGCTTCCCCCTCTGCTCGAACAGAACCGGCTTCCCTAACTGTGCTATTTCTATCTCTTTGGGCCTTTACTCTTCCTTTAGCTGTCTCCATTACCTCGACTATTAGGTTGTTCCACGACGCGGGGGTAGTGGGTATGTGTACACTGCCGCGTAGCTGGCCTTTCTACGGGGAGGGCTTCTTGCCCTTCCACACTGGTGCTCAACCTACTGAGCCAGACTTTATCTCCAACTGCATACTCTACGGCTCTGCGTTTATTGTCTGCGTAATGCTTCTGCTGCTAAACTGCTTTTAGTTTATGGCTTTGTACCCTGTCGCAGGGCTGACGGAAGAGCTTCATCATGGAAGGGGTAAGTGTAGAGGACATAGCACCTAAACTATCGAAGTCCGCTGCTGGCAGGGGGTTCTCACCAATTATAACCTCAACGTTTGCTCAGTAGGCAGCAAGAGGGCTTGAGTAGCGTTTTTTGTCTTTGGTTCAAACTTGTATATCTACTTCTGTGCAGTGCTGCATGGCCTGTAAAATGGGGACATGAACACTAAATTGGGCATATCAGGCAACCTGCGTGCAAATAAATGCACAAATTCTCCAGAGCGTTAGCGCAGACAGAAAAAGGGGGCTTTGTTGTGCTTGCATGTAAAGGTGCCTTGCAGCCTTAGTTACAGCGAGGTGCGTTGCAACGCATGCCAGGATCTGCCTCCTCTCCCCTAGCCCCAGGCCACTGGGCTGCTGCGCCCAGAGCTTTTGGGGAAGGGAGGGACAAGAGGGCAGGGTATCAGCTGCATTTTTGAGGCCCTCTTGCACCGAGCCGTTTGCCTGGATCCCCGCTCTCGTTGCACTGTAGATCTAACAACAACTCCACAAAATCACCTCTAGCCTCCCCTCCCGTCTTGCAGGATCTTGAACGCAGCGGGGAAAAGGCTTCGAGCTGTTGCGGGGAGGATTCGGGATGCTGGTCCATGAGCAGCAACGCACCTTGCTGCAAATCCAGCTGCGAGATAATCCGCGCAAGCACAACCAGAAACCCGTTTAGTGCATGCACTATCATTGTAGGCCGCCGTTCAATAAGTTCTTGCCGCCGTGGGGCCAGCCTACAGAAATTAAAAATCCACATACCAGCTTGAGAGGGGCTACGCTGCACCTGGCACCCCGCTCTCCCCCAAGGTGCCCACGCGCTCCCTGGTGTGCATGGGCCCCCGGCGAGGGGTGGGTGGATTAAGTAGAGGGATACAAGCATGTTTGCTGCTGCTACATTGAGTGTTTGGATTGGTGCTCTATCGGTTCCTCCTGCTGCATCTCGTCTACTGCTGCTCTTGCTGCTGCATCTGTTGTTGCTGTATCTCTTGCTGCTCCATCGCTTGCTGTTGCGTTGCTTGCGAATGGAGCTCCTGCTGCAGTTTCTTCCGCTGCTAAAACCTAAAGAAGACGGCAGCAGATGTTAGTTTACTGGATATGCTATTCAGCAGTTAAGGCAACACCCTTCTTATGCGCATCCAGTTAGCAGAGAAGCCGAAGTCTGCTAGTGCTGTATTCGGCTCTGTATCTTCGTCTATGTATTTTTTGGTTGATGCCCCGTACAAGTACATTTGTGTTTGTCTGGTGCTGCTTCTGTTTCTTTGCCGGTCCCTCTGGATCCGTATGCGCTCCATGTGCTTGTTTTGCTTTCGCTACGGCTGGTGCGTAGCCTCATCAGTTTAAGTAGTAGCAGCAGCATCAGTAGTAGTAGTTTGCTGTCTACTCTTGCCTGCCTTCTCCGATCTAGCGAGAAGTATTTCCTCCATCCCACTGCAGCCATTCTTTTCTCTCTTTTGCATGCAGCAGATAAATGCACAGCTCAGCTGTGTGTTCTTGTGCCGCTGCTGCAACCGCTGCCGGCAGCAGCAACTGAACCTCTGCATGCATCCCTGTTCATGCCTCTGTACACTGGCAGCTCATGAACGCACGGCGACGAGCCCTGCTCCTATGGGGTGAACGCATCACCGCGCGTAAGCAGCTTCGGCTGCTGCGCCTCTGCTACAGGAACCGAATTTACTGTAGCTGCCGCAGCTAATGTCATGAGGGAAGGCCCATACCCAACATCAGGTATTTCGCATACCAAACCCCAGAAGCGCAGCACCAGCAGTACTAATTACAGCTGCAGCTACTAATTCGGCTATTGCTGAAGAAGAAGCGGTTGTTGCGGGAATTGCTGTTGCTGTCGCCGCCGTTGCTGTTGATGCTGCCCTTGCATGCACGGAGCAAGCAACGCAAGCCTGCCTGCCCCTGCTCGCTGCGGTGTTCATTGCCTTTCACCGGTGTTTCGCGCAGCATTTTTGCGCTAGCATTCCAACTGAAGGGAACTGCCATACTGATGTGCCGGCCAAAGAGCACAAAGAAGAGGGGTTTCCGGACAGGCCCGCAGGTGTCTCAGAACTAAAATATAAACAAAAAGGAAACGGTCGTAGCCTAGCTAGCTGCAGGCAAAGGGGTGGAGGTACGTAACTCCTGGGACGGAACTATGTAGGAAGATATGAGTCATTCTACGCACGTAGCGGGGCAGTTGACCGCCAGATTTTGTACGCGGCCCAACTTTACATACGCTGCGCATGCCCACGTTTGCAGCCACCACGGCTGTATCGCGAAATGCATGCAGGTGTTTCTGAAGAACTGCTTCGCGTAAGCGATCCTCAGAACCCCACTGGGAGAGCCGATCTCCTGGGCATTAATTATATAGTGCTGTGACCACTGCGTGTCGTTACACGTTTGTCCAACAGCTCGGTACCCTCTGCTGTTGCCCTTCTGTGAAAATAGTTCGGGGGGGAGCTTTTGTGATTCCCTGAACCGTTTCAGAAAGCATGTAGTGCACTTAATCAAGTTAGGCACCTGCGTGTGTCTCACGAGACACCTAAACTTCGAGCGGCAAGCAGACGGTCTAAAAAGAACAGGCAATTTTCATCGTCATTTCATGCTGTGGGGAGGACCCAATTGCTGACGAAGAAATAAGACGGAAGTGGGTACGTGAACTTCGGCTTTACGCCCTCCAACGATCGCGGGGGAAAGCAGGGCATTTCCGATGCCCCGGATCGACGAACTACCTGACTGCTTGCAACGTTTATCATTTGACGCCATTCACACGCCGTTTGCATATCCCAATGCAAGCCAACGGCATGCACTTGACTGCGTTCCACAGCCGCAGCTCCGTGCGCTCTTATGTGATTTATCGACAATGGCATGATCTCAGCTGATGCCCCTTGCTGGTGCGCATGCCAACAGCCAGAAGATACCGAAGCAAATGAACGCGCTTCTGCGTTCCACTCGTTTCAGTCTTCTTCGTTTTTTCCTTTAACAGGTCATGCTACATCTGCCCCCCCCTCTCCCTAAGCAGCACACGTCCTCGTGTGCTTGATCACTCAGCAGAGGATGGGGAGCTAACGGGAGGGCATCTGCCCAACTTGCAGCTGTCGAGCCCCTTGTTATTACAGAAAGCATTTTTATGCACATGAAATACCAAGCCTCCACACCGGCAAGGCTCAAAGCATTATTCCGATTCCATCTTCCATGAGTCCGGCTTCAAGCAAAGGAGCTATCTATATTGCAGGCTCTTCAGTACTGTCAACTTCAGCTGCCGTCTTTTCTAATGCTGCTGCAGCCTGCCACCCGTTCTGCTACTTGGGTAGGCAGAGTTGCTCGACACACTGTGGATGTACTCCATTTTCCTCTTTGGAGCACCAACGCTTCTGCTGCATGTTCTCCTGCACCTAGAAACTGCAGTGTCCCTACTGCAGTTTCTGCTGTAGGCGCATCGCAGTGCGTCGCAAGTCTTGTTGCTATCGGTCCTCGTTAATGTTCTACAGCAGAGTCGCTAGCTTCGATAGCGCTGCACTGCAGCCGAAGACCTAGCGCTAAACTAAGAAGGTGGATATAGCAGAGATGCTGATGGTGGTGACGAAGTAACCACCACCAAACGGTTGAATGCGGCCCAAATTTTAAGCTGCGCTGTGCATACCCGCAGCGGTAATCTCCGCTGCACAGCTGAGGAGTGCCTGCGCATGCAGCAATAAGGCATTCCTGCACGCAAGTGATCCTTAAACCCCATTCAGGTTGTCTGCCCCATAGACACTTAGCGTGATATTATACTTTTCTGTGGCGCCTGCACGTCGTTGCATAACACGTCGAAGCCCTTTGTCAACTCCAGCTGGGAGGGGGGATAGGAAGGCTGTCCTATCTGTTCACGCTGTCTCGCTAAGCACGCTGTCCCCTTTACCTTACTGCCTGCCTTGCTCCTGCCCTCTATTGCAGCTGCCGCCCCAGCTATAAGCTGATGATTCTAAGTACTGACAGTGAAGGTCCGACCCTCTGTCGAAGACTAGGAATATATCCACAGCGCGAATTGAACCCTGTACCTCTCGAATGAATTTTCACCGTTGAATCAAATGAGCTACGAGCCACAGGGATAAAAATTTGATAGAAATGGTTACTCCGCATCTAAAGCCCTCTACGCCTTGCATGTGGGTTCAAAAGGCCGCGTTCCAATGACTATATCGCAAGCATGCATAAACCAACATGTAACGAACTGGCGCTGAAGTGCAGCATCAAAACTCTTTTACGGCAAGGAAGCTGTAAAAAGTAAAAGAGGAGTGTTAGCCACAAAGTATGCAAAGAATAACAGTTCTCTCAGCGGGGGCTCCGAGCTACCCATAGATAGTGTGCTGGGCCCACACCACAACGAAGAAGTTAATAGCGTCGCAGAAAACTCAATATATTAAAGCCGTACTGTATACTGAGAATGCTTATTCTAAAGGGGGGGGCTTCTTTATGCACCTAACAACGAATGTCAGCAAAAGGTTATATGAAGCTGAATTATATTGTGCGCTGCGCTCGCCGAAATTTGTATATTTGTAGTCCCTCCCGTGAATAGTGCTGAAGCATCTCCTTGTCTAAGTAATCCTGAGAAAACCGCTCAACTTGTATATATATGGCGTAATAATATTCTTGTTTCCTTCAACTTCTGCTCGTCTTTGAACGTGCGCTGAGGATATTACTCCGCTTTACTTGCTCCTTCTCGCAGTCTCAAGTTGCTGCCGTTTGTTAGTGTAAACTCGAGAGAATGCGCTCAACTCTATACCATTATAGGAAACTAATGTTTATGATAGGGTGAGACCTCAATGTTGGGCGCAAGCCGACGACGCTAACTTAAACTCAAAGATTAATGAAGGACTTACTACTGCCCATGCAACTGACACGAATAGTAATGATACACAATTAACTATCAAGGCAATGCTATTATCGCCGTGTGGATAGCTTCCGTAGTTTTATTCCTGCAACAACCAGCTCCCTCCCTTGTCGATGTGGGGAAAGCCTATCCGGGTGTGCTATAAAAGATTGGGACCCTTATCTATATAGAACCACTAAGTCGTGCATGTTTGTTTAACAAAGAAGATGCCAGTGACAACTGTATCTCTTTCTTTTTATGTTTGAGACAGAAGTACAACTCCAGCGAAGCAAGGAGCTCGTCCACTGTCTCTGCATCTCAGCGCCCGTCATATATCTGAACGGCTGGCAGAGACGGAGGCATTCTTCAGACATTGTTTCCGCTGTATAAACATTTTCCTCTGGAGTTATTGAGCTGGGGTCAACGACACCTGGAGAGGAGCTTCGCAGCAGTTGTTCGCCTCCTCACCCGAGGGCATATGCTGATAAATCTCCATGGTGTAAGAGGCGCAGAGGGCTGATTGAGGTTTTGAAGAAAGAGTTTTGAGCTGTTGCTTTCCTTTCTGATTCTGTACAGCACCCCCAGCACCAGCCACTGCTATGCATGAAGCCGCCCCACTGCAGCGGCTGGTTTCTGTGCTCGCACTCTTTCCAATGAGCTACGCGCTGCTACTAAGTGCAGAGATGATAAACTAACTTATCTTAGGACCCCATAGTATAGGGCTACTGAGGCAAAAGACTTGGGGCAAGAGCCTCTAAGAAGCTGCTGATGGCCTCCTCTCCCTTTCTTAGAAGTTCTGGGTACAGCGGCACAACAGCCTGGGGCTGAGGGAGACGAGTTTCTTATGGGGTGCCTATACCAGTATATTATCACCTAGTTATATAACTGACATAACCTTAATTAGCCCGCCTCGTTGCAATTAATGCTACAAGGCAGCTTCAAATGCATGCATGCACACAACCAACTCCAGTTCTGCTGGCTGCAGCAGCACTGTAGGCAATTGCTGCAGTTCTCTGTGCATGCAGGCTCCCTAAACTAAGGCGAGGTATAAGTAAGTATTCATATAGCAGCTACACACAAAGCCTGTAGCTCTGCTTTAGCATAAATATACACATACAACGGATAGAGAGGTGACGGTAGACAAGGCCCCGTTTGATGCATGCACAGATATCGCATACAAATTTTGTAGCTTTCTTCAGCCCTCTCTATTTAGCATGCATGCATGCAAGTTGAAGTATATATGGAGAGTTAATAGATTTATTATAAAACAGAAGCTATAAGGGAGGGGTCGCTTGGGGATAGTAGAGTGGGTATAAAGCTGTGTACTGCGTCTGGGGTGCCTTCGGTGTATTCTAATGAATATATTTGATTTAAAAGAAGAATTTATTAATAAAAAGAATAAAATATATCAATTTTGTCTCGTCATCCCCCTACCCCTCTGCACACACAGAGACTACATGCGTCGCTGTGTGCGCCCGTTGGGGGGTTTACTGTGTCTAAGTACGGTGGGCAGCTTTAAAGTTTGTTAATGTATTAATAAATAGAAATAAACATCAATTTCTTCTTTAAAAATTTATATTATTTATTAAACTCACACAAAGCAAAGCAGCAACTCAGACTGAAGCACCCGAGGTCTGCTGCTGCAGCAGCAGCGGGGCCCCCAGGAGCCTGTATGTTTCTTTAGAGAGTTTCGCTGTATACGTTTGTTTGCTCTATAAGGCAGGCCGCTTTGTTTTGTTTTTCTGAGCTGCCTTGCTGCTTCTTTGCTGCATCTGCAGACCGCCGTAGCACCACCACCCGCAGCTGCAACAGCAGCAGCAGCAGCAGCAACCGCAGCAGCAGCAGCAGCAGCAACGCTGCTGCTGCACAAGCTGAGCTGCTCGGGTGCAGCAGCGCAGCAGCTCTTCTCTAGATCCACTCTTCTAGAAAAGGTTGCGGTGGGCTCGCCGCCTTAGCCGCCCCTGGCTAGGCCGCAGGGCCTCTCTTGGGGCCTCGTCAAAGTGCAGCAGCAGCAGCAGCAGCAACAGCAGCAGCAGCAGCGGCGCGACTCGCTTCTTACTGAGCAGGTAATTGTTGTCAGAGAGGTCTGGGGTTCCTGCTGAGGCTGCCCGTGCTGTTCTTCTTCTCTCTCTGTGTTGCTGCTACACTTGGCTGCTGCTGCTTTTGCTGCAGCATCTGCCTTATTGCGTCTCAACTTCGATTTTGTTTCTCTTTTGCTGCTGCTGTTCCTGCTGCTGCAGTTGGGGCCCCACACTTCATCATGGTCCGCAGCGAGCAGCAGCACATGCAGCGCACAACAGCGCGGCGCTCTCCATACCCCCTTCGGGGCAGCCACGGGGGTGGGCCCCAGGGGGGCCCCCAAGGGGGGCCTCAGGGGGGCCCTCAGGGGGGCCCCCAAGGGGGGCCTCAGGGTGGCCCTCAGGGGGGCCCCCAAGGGGGGCCCCAAGGGGGCCCCCAGGGGGGCCCCCACGACCGTCTGGGAGCAGAAGGTCGCAACTGTTACGGTGCAAACAACACGCAGACTGCAGTAAGCCCTCTGCTGATTGCTGTTTTATTACAGCTATTTGAAGAGTTCCATCATTAGGTGTATAGGCATAAATTATATTCATATTTAAAGTGTATCTCCGCCAAGTATATTGAGTTGAGGTGTAGGGACAGTTATTTTATTGACTTTGAGGGTGTGGGGTTATATACGCACCTCAAGACTATCTTGAATCATATACCGTTGCTGCTGCTGCTGTTGCTGCTGCTGCTGCTGCTGCTGCTGCTGCTTCTGCTGCTGCTGTTGCACTTCAGGGTCGCTCAACGGACGGCCGCAGGCATGGGGGGGCCCCTGGGGGCCCCCAAGGTGTTGAGGAGGGGCCCCAGGGGTCTGGAGGCTTTCAAACGGATGCACAGATTACAGCAGCAAGAGAAGCAGCAGCAGGAGAAGCAGCAGCAGCAACAGGGCCTGTCCCTCGCGCTCTAGTTAAGTGGGAGGGAGATGGTAAGAGAGAAGATGAGTCAGAGACACCCTTTTATTTATTTATTAATTATTTATTTATTTATCTATTTATTTATTGTTTACTGACTGTATGAAGGATGTCTTTGTATATATGCTCGTATTCTACAGGTTGTGATAGATAGATGTGTGGGGTTAGGTATATTGATAGAGATATGCATATATATATATTATATATATTATATATATAGTATATATAATATATATAATATATATAATATATAGATTTATATATTTATGCTTGCAGGATGTGCTGGTGTAAGTCTGTGTATACTCGAAGAAGAGGCCTCTCTCTCTCTCTATATAAACCTCTACATATACATCCATATATATATTATATATTATATATTATATTATATTATATTATATTATATATTATTTATTATATATTATATTATATTATAT